AAATATTTCCGATGGCTGAGTTACATCTCGCGGATCTTAAAGTTGTCGTTCTTTCGTAGAACTTCTATTTTCTTCTGTGCCGCGCGGGCATATAACGCAAATGCGTTCTTGGCACCGAATGCGTGCTGCATTCTTCGTCGATGTCCTCCCCGTTAAACAGAACAACTTGACACAACGCAACGAATAACATTGTGTAAAAAAAAAAATTAAAAGGAATTGCAAACAATCGAATAGCCTTTGTTCGACTTTACGCGACTGTTTAGAGAAACTTATTTTCATAGTTTCAGTTTTATTCCATTGATAAAATTAGTCTCTCGGACCGATTCAATTTTTTTAAACTGAATTCGAGCTTGCATTTGCACGAGAAATAAAATTATTATATCTATTAACAACTCCCATTTAATTTGTTAGAATTTTTTTACTTTAATTACGAATCAATAATATCTCAAAGACTATTGATGTCGCGATGTATAAATACATGAAGGAAAGATCGGTTTTAAATTAACCGAAGAATCCTTTATTAAAAATTTAAGACGAGAGAAGGACGCAAAGCGCGATTAAGTTAGCGGCTCAAAGAGACAAGGACTCGAGTCAGTATGTCGAAGGAGTGCGGCCCGTGAAGCAGCTCTTGCACCTAAGTGACATCCTTGGCAAAGGGCCACAACAGCCCTGTTGTCGATGCGAAGTCGGCGAATTCTATTTCTAGTGTACGGCCGATAAACTCGCCGCGATGGCCCACGTAAAAAGATATCTTACGCCTAGATAGTCCCCGTTTATGTTGGCTACTTTTGTATACACACACACACACATATATATATATATTATACACATGTATAAAATTTTTCGTGTCACCCGTCTCGAATTTCCCTTCAAAATCGATTCATTCAAAGCGATTTTCGCCTCGCGAGAACATTCACGGGGGTTTATCGCGAAGGTTTCACTGCGCGCCGTGGATTTTCCTCGCAATCCCTTTATAGGCGAGAAACCCCCGGTAAGGGTCGAAGGAAAGATACTGTTATTTCCGTCGGAGGATAAAATTGCAGTTGCGTGCTCGGAAAAACTGCGGAATAATACGCTACCATATCGTGTATATCACAATAATAATAACACGAAGTTTCGATTACATTCGTAAGTAATAGCGAGGAACATAATTCATTGTGTTCGCAAAGTGCTCTTCTAATTACATTCACGCATACTTGAAAATGGCTGTCTTATACACTTACAATTAGTACGTGCCAAAGTATACATGCGAAAATGATAACGCGAGCGATAATGAGACATGATAATTCAAACGAAATAAAGCGGATCCAAATTTTTTTTTAAATCTTGCTTTTAAAGCCTTGTTAAATTTAATTATATTATCATAGTTTTTTCACACTTTTCCGCTAATATAATTCGCGAATATAAATCATAAAAACAAAAGAGAGGAATTTAACAATAGGAATTATACGACAGAGATTACTTTTACACGTTTCCATCACAAGAGCGTAAAACGTGAAAAACCAGCGGTATAATAAGATAATATCTGCGAACTTAAAAGTTCAGACGTTTCTTTGATGAAATTACATCTGCAACCTTATGACTCGCGCCTGCAGTTTCATCGCATTACATAGGCAAAAAAAATACGAGTGATCAATCTCGTTTACATGACAGCGAACAATGCTTCAACGTTAGTTGCGGATGAAGCGCAAGGAACAGTATTAATCAAGATTAAAATGCTGTTCGTGCCACCCGAAGTCGTGTTTCTGAGCGCCACGTCTCTCTCGGTAGTCGTAAATTCTTTATCCAAATCATTTGGCAGCGTGGCCATTCAGCACCTGGCGCTCTCGTTTTTAAAACTGTTCGAGGAAGTGGGAAGTGGTGTTAAAAAATTGTTCTATGTAAAATTAGTGATATATTACCGCGTTCGGCGATCGTGTTTGCGTAAAATTGGACGTGATACGATATATGTGTATGACGTCATGATACATGACGATATTAGAAATCAATTTGCCCAAGCACGCCTTAATTAAGAGGTATAGTAATAGCGTGCAATTATCGAGAAATTTCTTGAGTAGCATGAAATCAAAACTACACGTCGCGACTAGCATTCTGATGTAACGTAATACCGTGTCGTATTGCGTTCACGTGCCGTGGCGTATCTCGCGAGCATCGGCTAAGAGAGTCTAGTCACGCAATATTCAAAATGATCGCATTCCAAACGCGCTTCGTAATATTAATTAGCCTTATCGTGCGCCACGCCGTGGCGCCGCGGTCGCGCCTCTCTTTCTCTCGGAAGAACGGAGAAGAGCGACAATCGACGTGAGCGGGAGAGAGAGAGAGAGAGAGAGACGCGCGACAGCGCAGTTAATAATTAATCCGTTCGGATATCTTTAATCGTGAGCGACCTAGCGAAAACTGCATCAGCCGCGCAATCGATAAATCGCGTCTGCCGTTTAGAAAGCGTATCGTATTTCTACTTAATTATTAGTTCGATAAGATATTCTATTAAGCTTGCCTTTCCACGTGGTGAAAATTGTGCGATGAAAGATAAATGGGAGATTTATATGGGCGAATTTTAATCCTGTGCGTTGCACGTGCGATTCCCACCAGAGAGCTGTTTCATTATTATGTGAACGTATATTTTATTAAACACTATTCCCCGTTTGCGGTATGTCTCTCGGGATAATGAAAAATATTACTGTAACATGTCCTAATGCCGCGACGGTGTAACAAAGCCTATTGTAACTCGGATTAAAAATTTAACTGTTTTCGCAGTAATTAATTACTCGACGTTAACTGCTGCATATTTCTCCGTGTGTCTACTCGACGTCGTAGCGGTAAAAAAATCATAGCAATGTGGAATTTGATTTTTTGGACTAAACTCAATAAGACGTGTGATCCGTAATTGCGACGCACAGAGCGAAAGAAGTCACGCAACGGATGAAATAACCGGTTATTTTAGATGCAAAACGGCATTGCTTAACATTATGTCGCGCAACACCACGCGCTACGTGCCGTTGTATTTTCAATTTCAACTTCATTAAACCCAATTGTCCCTCGCAGAATGCTCAGGTACGTAACGGCGGTGGAATACGAGGGCACACCGGCCGGCGCGGCGGTGCCTGTGGCATGCAAAGCAGTTCGACGCTCGGCGCGGCTGACATTTCTGCCGGATTCTGGTGCGCCGTAACGCCCGGGGACTTGCGAGATGCACTTGAAAATGGTCGCGCGTGTATTAATATCCCGATATCGCGCGCCCTATAAGCCCGCGGAAGATATTCCGGAATATCCGTAAACGCGGTTGCGTCAAATCCGCGCGAAACGACGCGCATGAATTAATTCCCGTGAAAGATGTGTCTCTATAGACTCTATATGTGTGATGCACTGTACACGCGATTCCGCGCGAGAAATTTTCGCGGGAAGCAAAAATATATTTTGTCCCGTTAAAAATAGAATTCGCTGAAAGAATTTTGCATTCGCGGGCTTGCGTACCTGTGAGTCATTATTTCTCCGGGTTTTGTAAGCTCTGACCGCCCCGAAAGCACCTTTCTAGGACGTTATCATTCATTCTCGTCTCGTTTTAATTAATCTTCCTATATTTCCATCCCTCTCAATTAAGATCCTATATATAAGAATTCTTTTTCTCGCGCCGTTAGTGCGAGCTTTACGTCATAGAAGAGAGATGAAATAAGAAAAAATATACAATTTCTTCAACGTACGAAGAAGAAATTTAGAGTAGACTTACATCTTAAGATCAACAATCTTTCCTCGTTTCCGGACTTTATCGGTCCGTAATCTGCGCGATTTCTCGAACTGTTGGCCAACAGAGAAGCCCGGAATGTCCCGAAAGCGTTTCTACGTCATTTGCAAAGCTTCGCATAACTGCGCTTGAATGAGTCACACATGCATTCGATATATAAATTCTCAGAATGACTGCGACGTCGGCGTCGGCGTCGGCGTCGGTCGCGGCTGCGACGTCGCGGTCGCCAGTTGACGCGCTGCACTCCGGTTTGTCAACGGGGAATAAAAGTCGATCATTCCGCCCTCCTCCGGGGGAGGGGAGGGGGGGGAAAGGATTGAAAGACGCGCGTGTTCAACTTGCACCCTCGGTTGGGGCGCGCACGCTATTCAGTGTTCAGATAATTCGCATCTCTTACGACGGGGCACGTACAGAGCAGAGCCTGGCGACGGCGCGACCCGCGCCGTCTCGAAAAGCCGACGGCTTCGCAGTTGCGTGGTAGACGGCCTTAATGGCCGCGGGCCACGAGAATATTTTATGGTGTGTGCACTTTCAGACTGTCGCCGGATTTAGGACGAAGGTCGTCGCGCGGACGCTCTCCGAGCGGATCTGGCGATTTCGCCATCCGTTGCCATGACGATCGATCTCCGTCGATCGTGAATTTCTGACAAGTGTCCAGATTTTATCTATAGCCGCTGGATTTTTTATGACGTCAGAAATGACGTAATGTTTTCCTGCGGCGAGTCCATTGTTTATCCTCGGTAGAACGGACCCCAAGTGAAATATAAGTGATCTTTGCTATAGAAAGAAACCACTGCGAGACTTGTTTCTCATAATAGTTGCCCGCGGCGTACAACCGCTAGAAGCTGCGTTATATATGTATAGGCAGAACAGTCATTTGCGTTAATTTGCACCGAGAGCGCGAGCGATAAATATAAATGCCAGGGCGCTCCTGGATTATTGTTAACGAGAGAAGCGTCCATCTTGTATAGGCTTACGGCGAATGCGGTTAAATTTAGATACCCCCGGGGAATATACTATCGCCACGTATCTTAATGAGCTATTGAAGTCTCGGTGAGATTTTAACGAAGCCACTGTCGCGCGCGACCGTCGCTATTATTAGGAACGAAATACACACTTCGTATCTAGTTTCGCTCTCGGAATTTCGCGCGAGTCAAGTCAAGCGGGAGCCCGCCGCCTATTTGTCGAGAATGATGAAGCATACTTCGCCGAGGAATCGGTCGTTTCTCAAGGTACCGTCTGGCGTCTTGTGTTGCAGATCGAAGCTTCTTAGTGGCGAACGCGCAGCAGGGACTATGCCACATTATCTATTGTTCGGACGGTTTCTGCCGGCTTACGGGCTTCTCAAGGGCCGAGGTGATGCAGCGACCGGCAGTCTGCGACTTCCTCCATGGACCAATGACATCGCCGCACGCGGTTGCGGCCCTACGAGACGCCCTTGCCGCGGGCGTCGAAAAGCACTTCGAGATCCTTTACTACAGGAAGGACGGTGAGTACTGCCTGCTGATTGCTTGCCAATAGTCATAGATTTTTTTTTGTACGATGAAAACTTGTGTCTTGGTGCCGCAGATGCGACGTGTCACAAATACGGTAATCCAAAGTCTTGAATATTATATAGGGCAGCGCGATTAAAGGATTCAAAGCAAAAGAGTAGCGCAAGTAAAGCAGAATAAAATCGAAGTATATACGTAAAGTTATGCGACATGTTGTCTGATAAGGAATGAAATAAGCAACACGACTTATTATATAACATAAAATACGTATAGATATGCGCAAGTATGAATATATAATAGAGGCGTTTCTCAACTTCTCAGTTGTCAGCCTGTAATTTAGATACGTGTCAATGCGTGTGACGTACTACTTGATAAGCTCAAAGTGGTCTTGTCCTTGCACGTGTCTACACGTACCTACATACGTATAACGTAGAAAAAGACGGGCGTGAAGGCGAGAGAGGCGTCATTTCAAACTGAGACATGGTTCCGCAGAAGAAAAAAAGAAATCGTTTCTTGCGAAACGAAACTTACGAATATTCTCAATTTGTTGTCGTCTTAAGGAAACTTTTAATAACGCGGGAAGCATTTTTCCCGTTCGCCGAATAACACGTCTTGCGAAGAACGTTTTGCCATTTCCGTCGTAACAGCCGAGATAAACATCTGCACGAAGTGTCGCGCTAACTTTACGGTTATTGCCGGCGGAAATAAATCAATATAACGCGTTGTCGCACGTAAAGATTTATCGGCCGCTAGCAAGAAAGTCGCGAGCGTAGTAGGCATCTTTCATCCCGCCGTCTCTTCCGTCCTGAATCCTTCTTCTGAAATAGATATTAGGGATTTATACGGGGATGGAGACACGGGGATTGAATTAAGCGCAAATTGCCGAGAGTTCGATATAAAATTCAGTATATTCCTTATTTCGCGTGTTTGATATACATACGTCTTTACACGGGTCTCTCGGAGGATGAATGCCGCATTCCTTAATTTTATATACCAACTCCCCGGTTTACGTGAAATCAAAAGTGCTCGCCCGGCGACATCTTCCTTCTGGCAAATTAGCGACGAGGACTTTTTCCGAGATGCAGGACCGCGATGTAGCAAAGGTAGCGATGTCCCCCGCTATATTTGGAGCAAGAAGATTGAATTTGTTTCTCTGACCAGTGGTTACTTCTCGAACTCTATTTTGCCGTAGCGTCTGACCTTAGCCGCGGCGAAATCAATAGTCACCACTGTATAATTTATCATAGTCATAGTGCAGAACCTCCCACCTGGGTGGCTTCATGTAGGTTTAATAGTTAGTTTAACTTTCCGGATTTCGTGTAACGCGCGCTCCTTCTTTTATAAAAAACTAATAAATCTACACTTTAGTCGACAAACGAAACTAACATACCAGTAGCTTTTCATCGTAAAAAAATATACACGGATATGCGGATAAATGTAGTAAATGTGACAATCGTATAATTATGCGCGCGCCCATGAGAATTTCACTCGGAAGAATCAAAAATTTATCTTTACACAAAACTTATTAAAATACTTGTATCAAAGCCAGTTTTCATCAGCGAACTTGAGCTCGTTCAAGTTCGCTGAATAACGCGCGAGCCACGCGTGAGTCAATGAGCGTTTAACTTTTCGTCGTAAAACTGATTTTCATAATTTAATTGTTTCTCCTTGCCAAAATTTTAGGAGGGAACAAGCGCCCGCCTTGCTGTATGCTCCTGATCATAATCGATCATAATATGTAGATAATACGATTACGTACGTACGTAATCGTCCGTCAACAATTAGCTAACGAGGCACGTAATCACTGATGTTATTCGAGCTGTTAACAGCTGCTGCGGCAGCACAACTTGCGCAAATACATTCTCATCCGTTCCGTTTTCATCTTCTCTCTCCGTCGCTCTACTCGGCGTCGTGCCTGATGCTGTGGCAGACACAAAAAGTTCGTCCACTCTTCCGCGCTTCTCTCGCGCGTAAGATGGACTCGGGTGCACTCAAAGCTCCCACTCCGCGAGAGACGCATTAATTAAGGGGCTTAAGGGGCCCCTCGCTACGTAAGAGTATCAATGAAGCGAAAAACGGAAGGATGGCGGAGGCGGAGGGGCTACTACTAAGAAAACCGCGGCCACCGTGGCAAAACACCGCGAATGTTGGCATAGAAGATTCATGGATAGTTACGTGCGCCGCAGTGATTCTACCCTTTGTTGAAATAACAAACTCGCGCTCTTCCCGGAGCGCCGCGCATCACGTAAACGTTGATGGCCACTTCGCGAGGCCAAGGAAAGTACACGACAGTAGTCTCTTAGGAGCCGCTACAAGGGTAGGCTGACGTCGTCGACGGTATGTAGGCAATTTTCCAATCACAGATGGCTCGATGTTATGAAATCATTTCGACGTTAGTCGATATTTTATATTGTTTTCCATATGTTACACCGTAAATAAGTCGAATTGCATTCGTCTTCCTCCTGAAGATTCCAATATTTTTCTTCTCAAGATTCAATAAAATCAACTACATAATGAATTGACTATCGTTGAATTGCTATCGTTTGCACCGTTTGGTTCGCCGCGGAGTAAATCGATTTATAAAACATAGAAAGCGCGTGTCTTCGTGAGAATTAACGCAACGCGAGCCTTTCTAACACGCGGCCTTGCACAACGGCCTCTACCTACGTTGTATACAGTAACCAAGTATGGAAAATTAATCAATGGACGGCCAAGTTTCGAACTACGATTGCGACATGCATTAGATAGAGCTGCAATTTGCTAATTACGTGAAACTTTCAACAATCGAAATATAGCGTTGACAGTTGCGGCATACAAGGCTTCGAGAAGTAAATCTATGCGGTAATTTTAAAAGCAAGGTGATTTAAAGAGATATAATGAATTAAAGTATTAACAAATCTTGCACGGTGTGTGAATGGCACCAAAGTTTATTATTAAAAATAAGAGTGATAAATTTACGAAAGCATTGCCGCGATATCGTCATTCCATGTTTTCCAACGATAATAATTGAGATGAATAATAAAGTGACATATTACGCTAGCAGATAAATTGCCATTGTAACAAATCTGTGACGAAAATATAATTGGTAGTTGTCGGCCGACTTGCTTTCGCGTATCACGTTGAATAATGCCGCGAGCACGGGAATGAAAAAATTATAATCTAAATTGAAAGGACGATTAATGGACTCGGGCTGTGTGAAAATTGCAGATAGATAAGAGCGGGCGTGTATCAATTATCCTGTCACAGATATGATAACGCTCGTTCATTAACGCTAACCCTTTCGCGTTTAATGGAGCGAACTTGTCAGAGATGAAGAGACACTCCCGACAAATCGCTTCCATTTTAGCGAGAGAACTTATATCGATAGACTAGTATCGATTATATTGTAGATTTGACTTACAATATCCGAAAACCGTATCTATCAGTTTAATGCATCGTACTTTTTAATATCGATCTCACGTAGATCTCTCTTGTAAATCATTTATATTACGAAAACTATCTCGAAATTTTTCTTTAAATTGACTAAAGTTCTTATATATTGTCGTTATAAATTATCCCGCCTATATTCGAACTATGTATACAAGAAGAGACAGGGAGATTTAAATAGAATTTGAATAAAATTTCATGCGGATTAATATTTTTATGCAGCATGATTTAATTAAGCTCCATAATTATAATAAATGAAATCCACTCGTTATAATCACTCTCCGCTTCGCTCGCACTCTCTCGTTTGCCTCTTCTCTTCTGCGATGGCCATTTCGCGAACGCCTCCTTCAGAAAAGCTCTCCCACGTAGTTACGCAACGCGGCCGCGAGGACAGTGTTTTGAGGTGTCCAAGAATAGCCCCGTGTGCTCGTATTCCAACCCCTTCTCTCGTTTCTAAAACACCTGCCCTCTCCTTCCGTTGTACCCCTTTTCACGTGTTCGTTCTCTCTCTTTCTCTCTCTCTCTCTCTGTTCGCTTGCTCGCTCGCTCACTTACTCGTTCTCGCGAACTCTGTTTCTCTTTCTCTCTTACACATACACGACGTCGTTTAGTCAATGACATCACGGAACGGCACACGAACTCACCCCTTCCACGTGTATTTGGACCACCGGTGGCGTCTACCACATATGACGTCATGACACCCACCGCTCCCATCTGGCCTCCTCCTCCCTCCCACTCTATGCCATCAGCAGTGGCGATGGCTGCAAGCTCGGTGTGCGGGCCACAAAGCTTTCTGTGGCGTCACAGGACAACGACCCGGCGACTGGCGTTCGCGCCATGGCCGGTCGATCGGCTCTTGTCGGACCCGAGGCCGCGGTACACTCACGGCACACGATTTCGAAAGTCTCCGCCGTAAGCTCGCCGCCAGGGGAAAACGGCCGGCGGGCACGGCAACGCCTGAGATGCGAGCTTGCAGTCACCGCGGCGGCGGCGAGCCGAGCTTTTGCGTATGATCGCGCGTTTGATCGCGAGAGAAGGGGCGATCTTCGTCGCACGCGACGCGCGGTTGGCCGAGGCGAGCTTTTAGCGCGCTGGCAATCCTGTTGATCGAGCTTACGGTGCGTCGAGAGAAAATTCGCGCAGTATTTCGTTCACGTGAAATGGTGGATCCGATGCTGCGAACGAAGCGGCGGTAGCTCCGAACGCTGCGACGGAATGAAATTGCGGTGACCGAGTTTTATAATATATACATAGTTATGAATTTTATGGTTATACTAAAAAAGAGCGGAATTCATCGTTACGTAAGACGCAAATTACAATGATGAAGACATTGTCCTAGTTGACATTGTGACGCGCAATGTGGTGCAAGTAACTATTTGAGTAACGAATTTACGCAACTTTCTGTTCGCTAATATCATTTGCAATCTTCAAGATGCTAAGAAAACCCGAACACGGTAACTTTAACGTAGTTAAGTGTAAATGTTCATGAATTGCGAGAAACGGTATTATAAAGTTTCATTAAGCAATTATTTAATTAGCATGCAACGTAAAATTGAAAATCTGATAATGA